ACGCTCACCATATTATCACAATTCATTTTTCAGAATATCGATGTGAATTTTGAAACCTTGTGAAATTGAATTTCCCCTTTGTGGGATTATTAAAGGATATCTTTAACATTTGACCTGCTCAGCATGTCAGTACAGTCAATCTCCCGATGTTAGTCAGCTGATGTTAGCATTTAGCTCAAGTCCCAGTGTGGCCTTATAGCAGAGAGGATTTATTCTATTATTATACTTATTAAATGAAGATGATAATCGATCCTGTTTTTTTTAATTTTCAGATTGTTAATAACCAGGTTGTCTATTCAAACACTTTACAATACGACCCACCAAAGCTCCATGGACCAATCAGACGATCTGCACCTTTCAGCCTGCCTGTTTCATGTTATTACAACAGGTAAGAGGTTAGAACATATTGTGTGTGATGTTCTTTTTAACTAATCTTTAAATTACTTTCTTGATTCAGACTCAGAACAGGTTGTCAAATGAGAAGCCAACGCTATCAATCTAAAATTTCATAATACAATGACAGGAATGTATCTAATGAATAGATACATAAATGAATGGACCTTACAGGTGACCTCATTGTACAGTAACAGTCCATACAGTAAGTCAATTAGATTTGTTCAGCATTTTCTATTGGCATTTTCTATTTTATTTCAGGTACCAATACTCGTACAAAATTGGCTACAAACCAATGAGGCACCAAGCCAAATTCCTTCTGACTCAACGAAACGGTAAAACCTGAAAATATTTATCCTATCCAAGTTTAAGAAGGCATATAGCGATTTCAGAAAAAGCCAATGGTAGCCTTAGCCCTCTAATGGTCTGGCTTAGGGAAAAAAAGAGGTATCCTGAACTTTGCACTTTCTATGACAAGAAAAACTTCAGCTGTCTTAAAAGAAAAATCAGAAGTCCTGAGAGGTTAGGATGAAGAGTTACAACGTAGTTCCGAAAAAAAAAAAACTGTTTTCTTTCCTCATCTCTTATTTAATGATGCCAACTCCAAAATGTGCTTTCCATGTACAGATTAAATACAGACTTGGGGTTCAAAGCAATGCTCGTCATTACACGTTTCTCACTTTTCATTTTCATTTCATTTTCATTTCTTCTCTTTGAGTTTTGTAACCTGAAACTTTCTTTTTGACTGCATGAATGAGGAAAAATCTCAGCGCCCCTGCTGTCCTTGTAACCTGACTTTGTTGTTCTGTCTGTCTGTCTGTCAGCTCAGTGGGAGAGGCTTTTTCCATCAGATCAGTATGTGCTCAGGAAAACCATGTACTTTGAAGCCGAGGGTCCGTCCATGTCCCAAGACCAAAGACTGTACGTCCACATGTGTTACGCAACACCTGAGAAGTCTCACACCTCCAAGCCACAATTTCATGTGGTGGAAAACTTTGGGTAAAACACCTCTCTTGAACACAAGAATTGAACACATGTAAGACAAAAGAACACCATTTTAAAAAGTCAATGTACATCTATGTGTAAGAGTTTACACAGACTGGAGCTACTGCTGCAGAGGAAGCCATGATGTTTTTGCTTTGTCTGTCTCTCCATCTGTCGTATTCTTGTCAATCCAGTATCTCAGTTGTGCCTTGAGAGAAGGTCTTCAAACTAGACACTAACTTCCAAGGGTGCTGCAGAGAGATATGAAAATAATTTAATGGTCAAAGTCTGCGTGACCTTATGTTTGTCTTGTTCTCTTGAAGGCCATACATCAGGAATAGCTCAAGGGACTTTAATCACATCCGTCACAAAGATCCACTCACACTTGCACAAAATAACTGATTTTCTTCACTAACATCTACAAGAATCAAACCAGGGGGTAATGACATTTTTAAAACCAAAAGCTCAAAGTTCAAATCAACTGTGACAGGATAAGGCTCTTCATATAAAATACACTATTTTTAAACCGGTTTTCCACATTATAATTGAGAAGCCAAATGTCAGCTTTTGGCAATATTTACTCAATCAATATTTGATTCATGGTCTATAGTCATGGCTACAACTTAAAGTAATATTTGATTCAGTTTCATTGGCCAAACACATGAAAACCTAAGAGAAATTTGACTCTGTTACACCTGTATCTGGTCTTGCCTGCAGAGGCATAGCAATTACTGAAGAAGCACAACTTCACCAAGGTGCATGAAGAGTGAAATGCTTGAATAGTTCAAAATGAAGGGCACAAGCCGAAAGGGTAGCTGGAGCATTTTGACCTCTTCGAGACGTAGCAATTAGGCAGATATTCTAAAATACTGAGCTATGAATGCTCAGGTTAGATAAAGTAAAAAGACATTTTTCAAATTGGTGTTAACAGATTTGCAAATTGTGGACATGGTTTCCTAAACTGTTTTTGCAGATTTGTAAAACGTGCCCACAGTACGGGCACAGATTTGTAATGCAAATAGCAGTGGAAATCTGTGTGCACAGTTTACAAATCTGTGAGCACGGATTATGCATGTTGTGCATGGATTTGTAAACTGTGGGAATTCATGTAAAAACAAATATTTATTTTTCTTTCCTGAGGTCCTGTGGTGCTCTGTAAGAAACTGATTTTGTATGAATAAAAAATATCATGTCATGGTCATTTCTATCTCTCTGTGAAGATGCATGACTGAAAGCAGAGACCGGAGGTCCAGATTCATCCCTTACAAAAACAATGTTGTGAGATTCTCCGTGGATGCATTCTTATTCAAAGGAATGACGGGCCAGGTGAGTGAAATGCTTCAAATGAAAAAAAAATCCAATTATTTGCAACAACTATTTCCTTCAAGCCTCTTTACACCGACTAGGGTTTTATTTTAAGTATTCTGGCTGATTTAACCAGGACAGGTTGTACATAGGTGGAGCTATGGTGAGAATTTATTTTGTAATAAATTCTATGTACCAACAAGTATAATAACACGTCATTAAGTCCTCCTTCCCATTAATGGTTTATTCCAAATGAACAGGGTAGTGGAGCTGTCAGTCAGACTTGACCACGCCCACATATTCCTGAGAAGCTCACGGTCTCAATCACTAACACCTGTGTAGTGTACAGGGGCTTTAGATATAACTCTAAAGAAACAAGAGAAGTGACATCTTTTGATCTGTTCTCATGTAGCAGCTCTACATGCACTGCAGCATGTCAGTGGGCTGTTCCGTCCCCACACCTACAGCCAAGTCCTGCAACTACGACACAGAAGCACAAAGGTACATGATTTTATCTTGAAAGAAAACTAAAAGATGTTGCATAAAAAGTTGTAACATGCTGTGCGGTTCTTAATAAAGAAGTTAGCCCCTCTTCCTTATTTTTTTTTTTTGTGTTCTCAGATGGGTTGAGCTGTATGGGAAGGACTCAGTGTGCACCTGCTGCGACTCCAACTGCTCTGCTGCATCTACAGGTGGGCTTTTCTTACCTCAGCTTCTTTTACTCTATTAAACTATGAATCTTATTATATTTAAAGGATAAGACTAAACTGAGTCTACTGCCAATGAATCCAATAAATAGACCGAAACAAAAAAAACCTCCTTCAAGCTAAGTTTTTCTGTGAAGCCGAAGAATGACAAAGTTAATTATTTTATATATAGCTAACATCCATATATCCTTAGCTCAAAGAGTTTGGATAAAAATCTTTGCTCCAAAAAAATGACAGGGCCTATTTCTAAGGATTTTTAAAATGAGTTCACACAAATTACATGCTTTGATCTTAGAGACACAGAGAAGGTAGAGAAGTTAGAAAGTACAGAGGCATCAATTAACACAGATTATGATTTGGCCAAAAGAGAAACCATTTTCCTTATTCCTCCGTGGCGATCGAGACTCTTTATAATAATCGCACTATTTATTTGCATTTCTTGTCTTGAAAATGTCTCATATTTTTCTGCTCCACGTTAGAAATTGGATTTATACGTTTTCCTCATTAAGTTTATTTTCCGGATGTTGGGGAGAAATAAATGTCTCTTTATATGTTTGTACATAAAATTTAATTCTGCAATAATTTTTGAACAAATAAGATAATCATCTAATTGCTAAAATTCTATATTTTTCAGAGACCAAGATAGTAAGCAGCATGCTGTGGACGGTAGAAATGAAAGTGAAACACAGAAAATTCCCAAAGAGGAAGACGCTTTGCAACACAACAAAAACAGAAACGACACGTCAGCGGGCGGCGACCGAGAGTTGACGACTCTACACCCTGAAACGATCGAAGTGACTAAATCGGGTAAGGTGGAGAACACGGTGGAGGAGTTGGAATGGCCGTTTGGAGGTGGAGGTGTGCATTGGGTTGAGATGGAGGAGGAAGAGGAGCAGGTCAAGGGCTCTGCTGTTGTTGAGGAGGAGGAGGAGGAGGAGGTAGTCACACAATCTCGTACGACATTTGAAGAAATCTTTGATTTTGCAAAATAAACTAACATTTGCACAGTGATAACTTCAGTGCGAGTGGCTCATTATGAGACTTAATAAGCTCAGACTGATAATCTACACGCAACACTAAGACAAAAGCAATCAGCATTTCAAAGGAATAGAAATATATATGTATCAAATAAACAAATGTCCTTCCTGCATAATATTGTCATGGTTAACTAATAAAGTTAAAGGTCACATATTATGCAAAATGCACTTTTCCATGTTTTTCTAACACTCATGGCCCTCACCTGTTAAAAAAAACAATGAAAGAAGTCCATCCTCTCTGTCTTTTCCCTGCTCCACTTTTCAGAAAGTGTGTGCTCAAACAGGCCGTTTGGAGATGTTCCCTTCATGACATCACAAAGGGCAGTAACCCCTCCCCCAGGTGGGTGACACTCCCACAGCTAGGTGTTTGTTCTGCCCTCTGAGTCTGCTTTGCAATCCCCTTCCAGAGAGGGGGCGTGATCAGACACAGCTCATTTGCATTTAAAGCTACAGACACAGAAACCTGAAACTCTTAAATACTGAATTATATCTTTTAGAAAATGCAAACATGTAAACCCTTTATGAGCCAAGGTTTTCTTCAGAATGTGTGAATGATGAAGGTCACAGGAGTCCATTTTCAGATACAAGAATCATTTATTAGATTTACATCATGAGTAAATGTAATATTGCTACACAACAGTCATTATGTACAATTTCTCTTTACAAATGTCAGGTCATTAATGTGGTAACTAAAGTTTCGACCCTTAAAGTGAAAAGAATAGTTACAAAACCGTTATTCTACGTATACACTAAAGGTTATGACTTTGGACTTTACAGGTTCTATTAAACAAGATACTTACAAGAAAAAAAAAAACACTTGGTTTCATAACATTTGAATAATTGTTAATACAGTGTGTCACGAGTATTTTCGAGACCTTCATCTCGAATATACATTTTTTTTTAATGAAGAATGTGGAAGAAAAAAACACATCATAATGTCTTCTGAAAACAGACCATAGCGTCATATCACCTTCAGTTCAGACGGGGTTCAGCTGGGTTCAGCTCAGTACGTCCTGGATGAAGTGTGCTCTGCTTTTCTGCCACATTTTAGTTTCTCTCCTTTTGTGTGGTTCCTGTGTGAAATGTGTGGTCCTCAGTAGTATGTGCTCAGGTGGGAGTGAGAGGCCGGGTGTCTGGTCATGGCTGACCCGGGATAAATGGGGCTGCTAGGTGAGTTCCAGTAAGTTGACGGAGGGGCGAAAAAGTTTCCGGGGGAGACGGGCATAGGTGCAGGATGACCGCCCATGAAGTTCATTTTGGGCTGGTGGCTGTGGTAAGGCTGGACGTACGACATATCAGTCTGATACTTAACAATCCCCCCCTCTGCTCCGTGATTCTGGTGTGTCTGCGAGATGCCATGGAAGTCAAATTTGTAGGCGTAGCGCTTGCCGTGCACCTTAGTCATGATGTTTTTGTCGTAGTAGTAGCGCAGAGCTCGGCTCAGCTTGTCATAGTTCATGTTGGGCTTGCTCTTGCGCTCTCCCCAGCGCTTGGCCACCTCGTCCGGGTCGGTCATCTTGAACTCGCCATTGTTGCCCTCCCAGGTGATGATGCTGGAGTTGTTGCTGTCTGACAGGAGTTCCAGCAGAAACTGCCACAGCTGGATCTGCCCGGAACCTGTTGGAGGGGCGGGAGGGAATGAGTAGGGAGAGTTAATTAATCTTGAGTAAGTCTTCAGTGTTTTGTAAATTAAATAACATGTGCCCTCCACCTTAACTACTATGGTAAGAAAAAAACTAAATTGTTTAAAATCGTCCTGCGTCTCTATGTGAGATCCAACAGCAGCTCTGGGATGCTATTGGATGCTCCGCTCTGAAATCATACCCCCACGGTTTGGGACATGTAATCATCTGTATGTCAATATGAAGCCATGAGATCCAGGGTTTCATTCAAAAGAAAGCTTTTCAATTGATTCCAGGACCCTGGACAGCTCCTCTGTTTCATAATGAATGACTTGTTTCCTGATGGTTTTTATAACACATCTAACATCTCATTCAGCAAATTCTTTTCCACCAAATGTGACCTTTTCACTGTTTGGCTTGGACGAAGCGACAGACATCAGGGCACAAACCTACCCACAGGCCTGTGAGCGCTGGGGTCAGGCAGCTTGTATGGACTTTGTTTGCTTGTTCGGTTCTTGGATGAGCTGAGGGCTTGGCCTTCTGTGAGGAAACAGCAGGGCAAACAGTCATTTTTGGTGATAGGGAAGCCAAATTTTGTCGCAGTGTAAGCGTGATGCAATTCTGCTGACGCAACAGATGTTGCTTGATGTTGACATCATTTTGGAAAGTAAGTGTGTGAGTGCCAGCCCTTGCTTGCTTTTCTCTCATGTTGCCAAAGCAGACAGTGTAAAGGCCTCATTTGTATCATCCTTATTGGTTTATCTGACGGTTGTTTAGATTCTTACCTGGGTTGGCTAGTCGACTGCTAATGGACCCTAATGTCTGGTATGGATCTGTAGGGGAGAAAAAAATGTTATTTTCACATTGGTCTAAAAGGATCTAGCTATATATCTTTATGGAGAGCGAGCAGTCAATGACATGTGGGGAAAGGAGCCACAGGTGGGATTCAAACCTGGGCTACCCGCTTTTAGGACAACTGCTTCTGGTCATGGAGCTCGCAAACTAACCGCTAGACCAACAACGCCCCACTTTATCTGTCTTTTGAGAAATTGTTTGCAAATTTCACCTGCATTTCAGCTGACAGTCTTTGGAAATTAAATACAATTTGAATGATAAGTATATGTCTCTTGTTCAAGGATCAAGCACAGATTCTGATTGGTCTGGTGTTTGCTTATCAACCGTCATAACTGCTTGTTTGACCAGACAGAGCTTGTAGAAAGCATAAAGATGAGATTCATGTGCGATCTATTAGATTCAAGTTACCCTGAAAAGGACTCAATTACCCAAGAACCCCTGACCTTTCCTATAGCACCACTGTCAGGTTGACATTTGTGGTCCAGTGATGTACGCTGTACGTCGCTAAGTGAATTGTAGAGCAGTGTGAAGTATTGCAACAATGTTTGGACATGGCTTTTCATGCAATGTGCTTCAGACATTCTTGTTTCTTTCAGGAAGGATTGTAAACTCTTTGGTGATCAAATGCTTTTCCTTAGAGTCCATCAAAGTTTCACCTTGTCAATAAATGTCTGAATAGCCCCAAATCATCCTCCTCATCCGTAGAGCTTATCTACATCAAATAACATTCAAAACATTAATCCTGCATTACATCAGTAAGTAAGAATGGTGCTTTCCACTTGATCTCGGAAAATGGAAAATTCAAGTTGCCCGTCTGATACGGCATCAACAACGCTCGCTTAAGTACGAATTCTGATTTGGAAACTCTGAGAACCTTCAGTCGCCACCAGAGTTGAAATCCAACATGGCTAGCACGTGCATCAACTGTAACGTTTAAGCTGTAACTGCGTTTATTGATAAGTTAGTCTTGTTTTTGTGTAATAAAATCAATCACACCGAAAACATCGTGAGAGTTCTTTCTGTGGACATGTTGTCGTGTCATTTTCACGTTCAAACTGTAACGTAATGTGTTGTCATCTCCTTGTATTAGTCAACAAAACAAAGGTACTCCTGTAGGCGTCCATGTTGCTTGTCTGACTTGTTACCAACTCACAACTGTAACGCGGTTAACTCTGGTGTTACGTCATTCCCAGCTAGGAGATCCAAGTCTCCATAAAATGCAGCTTGAAAAAGACTTCCAGTTGCATGGCTGTAAACTCGTAGTTTCTTTATGTTTCTCCTAGGCTAAAAGCTGTGTTGTGGGAAGAATGTGGTGATATGATGTGTCAACAATGTGAAAGAAATATGACTTTAAGGAGCTCTGTTATAGTATGAAATACACCGTCATCAGCTAGTGTTGAAGTACTCGATCGGTCATGGTCTCAAGAACACTTTATAAAGGTCTCGTCATGTAATCGCAAGCATTTTGACTCGGCCTTGTCTCTATCTGCGTGGACTCCAGATCTTAAATCAGTGCGGTCAAGACCACCACTGATAGGCTTCTTTCTCGTGTTATTACTGTGAGAAGGAAAACGCCCCCTTCTAAAAGAACAAATAACTTCAATTCATTTGTAGTTTAATATTTAATTAAGTGATATGTCCCCTGCTCACAAGATGATTAATTTTCAGTTATATTTATGCTCTTGGTCATGGCTTTGACTTGGTCTGATACCTATACGTCTTGGTCTTGGGTATATCTTGGTCTTGACTACAACACTATCATTAGCATAAAATATAAAACTTAAGTAATTGAAAGTTAAGTTTCTAATGCAGGCTGAACAGTGGCATCTTTGTATTATTACAGTCTTAGCATTTAGCATAGTAGCACTCCTTTATTCTAGTCTGGGCAAAGATTACAACACATGCCTATATCGGTAAATAAATAATAAACATCTTTGCGTGTAAACTAGCTATGTTGTTTCTAGATTACATACAGTATCACAGAACTATAACCACACTCAGGTTTATCAATATTTTGTTACAGTGACTCTTAAACAAAAGGGAAGAAAACATTACGATCTCACCTGAAATTTCAAATAAACTCCAGAGCTTGAATATTTTTTTCCACTTTGATGTGAGTTTGAATGACCTGCTTCAAGGTCTACAAGATGTGGTGGATATAAAAGTGTTTGGCATTTGTGGTCTTCCTACCTTGCATAATTCTTGGAGCCGGCTCTGTAACTCTGGTGCTGTGTTGGTGCTCCATGGAGGGGCCTTCAATTAAAAGAAGAAAACACTTGTCTGAAATAGGTTTGGTTTTTAAGGAAGGGAATGGCATTGACATGAGAAAATAAAAATCGTCCCCGTTTTTCTTAATTAGCGAGACACTGGTACCTTAAAATCCCAACAGAATCTCTCATTTAGACCACTCAAAGTAGCAAGTATTCCCAGACTGTTTAGTTTAACCCACTTTTATTTTGGTTTGTGCTTGAAACATGGGGAGATTTTCGAGTCTTTATAGAACTTGGATGGTCTTGTTTAGTTTCTCGACTTTGTGCAGGCAATTTGGATCTTTGCACTTCAGACGCAAACCCCTCTCTGATCTGTCAGGATCATCTGTGCCGATAACGGAAGCTTCACTGATATAATGTGATGCATCTGAAATGCATTCAGGCCGGCTACTGGATGACCAAAAAGACAATAAGGCAACTTATAGAGAAACATAAGCACCTAATAACTCGTAATTCTGAGATAAATATCTGGTTAGTTCAGAAAATAGAAATCATGTGAATGTAATACGCTTCCATAGATCTTCAGCTGTGTCCTTATTTTTAATCCACAAATATTACATTTCTATGCCAATCCAGCAATAATTCATGCATGCAAAATTGATGGTAGTAGCTGGTTTATTTTAGTTTTTGTTGTCGTACCTTTTTGCACTGCGGTCATGGTTGTTGCCGGCCAGCTGTTCCTGCGGCTGATCTCATCGAAATTGCTCTCTGCAGACACACAGATAAAGAAACTAGGATGAGACGAGACATTGACGGGCACATTGCACCAAAAGTCTTTGAAGTGGACAGTTCAGACATAACGGAAAGGAAGTCTGTAAATGGTGACCAAGACAATAAGAGTTTGGAGGTCTGAAGATGACCCACAGTTTTTTTTTTGTTGCGAGCGGTCTTTTGTTCAGGCCACCCCTGTCGCCATAAGATTGTGAATTGTGTCCCAGGAGCGGGACCCGTACCCCTCCATTTCCTCTGCTGGTGCAGCTGTTTCCTGTCTGAAACTGGCTGTTGAGTTTTGGACTCGTCGACGTTTAGTCAACTGAGGTCTGTTTTGTGCCAAGGAACCTTTTTAGACTCTTGAAACTATGTTACACAGTTTCTGAAAATCTCTCTACTCCATTTTCTTAAATACTTAAATCATTCAAGTTGTTTTCTGTTATCTGATGGTTTTAAGATCATGACCCTGAGCTTTTATTCACACCCATTAACATTCAGACACAACTGAACAATATGACTAAAGGGACTAAACAAAAAGTGAAGAAAAGTAACTGTCAAAATTATTTTTATATCTTGTATTTAGGCCAAACTGAGGGAAAACATTTTTGTAGCTGGTTGCTGAAGTAGTTGTGACTATATTTTTATAAAGTTAAGCACTTTAATCTAGAGATGTTTGGAGGCAAATAATTTACAAGTAGGTTTAAAGGAAATTTAATTCTGCTGAAAGACCAGTCTAAAGGTAAGATTTAAAATGGTCTGCTGGTCAACAATTCATTTATTTTGCTGAGAGTGGTTCATGTTAGCAGCCTTTGATCCTCCCTGCAGGTTTACATCCACATGCCTCAGCTAAATGTGGTTTCAGTTGCTCAGGTCGGTGTGCTAGATTAATCTAACAGGGCATATATACATTTTTATCTTAAATTTTTAGATCAGAATATTGCCAAACTTAGCTGCTCACCAAGATGCTATCGGTTCACTGTGCTTATTTACATCCATAAGGCTATGCTAAATGTGGTTTCAGTTTACTCAGGTCGGTGTGCTAACAAGATGCTATCGGTTCACTGTGCTTGTTTACATCTGGGTTGTAGAGCGGGGAGAGCAGGCCCATTATCCGGAGCTACAACCAGTCTAGGGCTACAGCCCTGGCTAGTGGCAAATGGCTGTGTGGCAGTTTGAGCATAACATTTGACCTGCATCCATAGATTACATAATCATATTAATAATTAGCTTTAATCCTGATTAGTGAACAGAGTTTTGTAACTTCACATGCTGATGCATAACTGATGCACACCAACTTGAAACCTGTGAGACAAAGTAAGGACAATAATAAAATACAAAACAATACACGATTTCTTTCAAAATGAATTAAAATGGTTCAGATTTTAGATTTTTAATAATTTGTTATATCTTAATAAGAATAAGCAGATTAATAAAATAGGTTTCTTGGCCTTTTATTGAAAGGAGTGGATGATCTCACCTGCTTTCACCTGTAGTCTGGGCTGAGGTGGGGGTGGCGGTGGCGGTGTGTTGTTAGTGGGAGTTGTTGGGTATGAAAATGTTGGGCTACCTGAAGCAAAGACAAATAAACAACAATATTACATTCTCTTAAGATGGTTACAACAGAAGTACGTCATACAGCGAAGAATTCGAGTTGTTTTCTAATTAAAGAAAGACATCACAGATATCCAAAAAGAAGAGAAGGAGGCAGCTTGTGATGATGCTGCAGCGCCAGATCACATATTCAGGAAGTTGTTGTCATAATGTGAGATTGAGCTAATTTAAAAAAAATACAACTACCAGATCATCGTGCAAACAGTACGGCAGGATGTTTATGTTTCTAATTTTACACCCTCTAGTAGTGTCTTCAGTAATTATGAATGGAGCAAAGGCAAATTAATGACTCTAACTCCTGTGTGAGTAAAAGTAAAATATTGACTTATAAGTTACATTATACTTAGCACTACATCCACATTACATACTTCACATATCAAAAATGATGACGTTAATTATTTAAACCCAATTATAATCTTTTTTTAAACTGGATTTTATTTTTTAAATGAGGACCTGTCGCCTGCCGTCATATATGATAGTAGAAACAATTGATATATTTGGTTTTATTGGTTGGGGGACTTTTGTTTTAGACTTTGAACCTGATGACTGTCTTCTTTCAATGCATTTAAAGTAAATGATTGATCAGTCACAAAATGATGTAATGTAGCAAACGATACCATTGTGTACTGAAATACTGTAAACCTGTGTGAGCCACATAGCATAATTAGCTCTCTTCAGGAAGCACTGTCAGCTAACAACATGCCAAGCTTAAATAGTTTTAAGGAGTGCCTGAGATTGATTCCGGTCCATACACATGTCCTCGAGTTACAAAATTCAAGGGCAAATATGTTTTGGGGGTTGCAGTTCGTTTTTTTTTTTTCCAACAATCAATTATTTGTTTGCAAAATAGATTGACCATCTATTCTAATGTATAGAAGATAGACTAAATGACCATCATATTTCTTCCTCTCAAATCACCAATGGTTTGAGATTTTCCTGGATTAACTCACAGTATTTGTGACTGATCATCATTAATGTACAAGTTGGCTTGTCCAATCGTTTCAACAAATAAAATCTCACTTTTTAAAAAGCCCAGAACAATATTGTCCCCCTTTTTTGCTCAGGTTACTTCCTGTTTCTTAAAGGGTGATCATTTTTAATGTCATATGTTTGTCCGGTCCTTTTGGTGATACCCATTTCATATCAAAGAACAACAACAAGCTTTCACATTGTCAGAACTAAACACTGTTCTCATCCGGAGAGAGAGAGAGAGAGAGAGAGAGAGATGTCAGACGTGAGGCGAGCCTTACTCTGCCGGAGGTAACCGAGGTGTGAGAGCAGGATGTCTGCATTGTATGCCGACGTGAGACGCATCATGTCGTCCTTGGTCATCTTGCACAGCGCCTTGCCGTCCAGCGTGTGGAAGAGGATGACGTCCACCTCCTCCAGAACGTACTCCTTGATGGCCCAGTCCAACCACTGCCGCACGTGGTCCTGTGTCCACACCTCAGGGTCTGACATTACAAGCATGAAAATGTTAAAAGCCAGTTACACTATGAAACAACACACTTATTCCTTTCTTTTTTTTAATCCATGTTACTTTTTTTTACACACAAACTAGACGTTTAATTTACTCAAGGTGCAGTCTGATTTGAAAAGAGTCACAAACAGGAAGCCATAGAAGTTCAAAATGTATCATTGTAGGAGCTTTTTCGTCTATTGTTATTTTAGATTTGATTGTCTTTTTGTAAACACCAGGGGGCAGTGGGCACCTTACCAATCACTAAGGCTGATGGTAACCATTTAAAGGTTGCAGGTGTGTCACTGCGCGGTGATGCACCAGGAAGGGAAACCGTTTTTTCTCTTACCAGATCAATGAGATGCAGCATGAAATGTTTGTTCGTTTGTTTGATCTGAATTAAATTTAGAGTGATTCATGACTGGACATTGGCCTTCTTATTGCCTTTGTATGAACCAGCTGGAACGGAGAATCGGCGGCCGTTTGTTATCCGTAAGCATTTTTGTAATAACACTTTTTGTTCTCTTAGCATATAGCCACGAAAACAGCTTGATCTTCTTTGGGGGGGGCTTTTGCAGAACTGCAGAAGAGTTGAAACGTCTTCCGGATCTTTAACCAAGTCCAGTTGCCTTTGGATCTAGCTTCAAATAGTACGAAACTATACCTCTAGTATTTTTCAGAGCGGTAAACTCCTTTTTTGTAAACTGACATCACTGGGAACTTTTCCTGAAGCTTCGAGCTGCCAGTAATATTAGTCTGTTAGCTTGAGTGTCCGCACCCTCAGCTCCTGATTGTCCTTGGTTTACACATGAAACAGTGATGTAACATCCAGGTATTATTGAGCCGGTGACTCTTGTCAGATTCCTCAGATTCCTACGCATCTGTCTGAAGTAATGTGTGAAAAGGGAGCCCTCCACCGACTGACTCACTGAAACATGCACAGCAACAGGGTACGAAATGTGCAAGACGGAGAACACTGAATTTGTAACATGGCTGGTTTTAGAGTGATGATCAGTCCAGTCAGTTATCTGAGTCTAAACTGTGACCACTCTCAAAGTAATGACACATTGCTGTTGCTTCTCAAAGTTGTCTGTCAGTGATTTTCCTCTAAAACCAAAAAAGGGAAAACTACTGTCCTAACTGTTCGGCTGTAGAAAAAGTTAAATTGCTCTGAGTCTTTCAGGATGATCATGAAAAAGGAGGTCTGCTTGAAATACTCACTAATGTGTATCAATGCACAGCTAACAAATAGTCCCCATTAAATGTGTGTATGAGGGATTGAGAGGGCCGGTATTAATTCAAATCAAGGAGAATGCCGCCTGCTAAAACAGCACGGCTCATTGATTGGGTGAAAATAGTTTTGTAAACCATTGGAGGAAAGATTCACTGATTATCAGGCTCTATTGAAGATCATTATTTGTTGGATCATTATTTCAGAGAATCTGGAGGGTTGTCCGTTTATTCTAATAAGTAACCTCACTGTTTCAGCCACTGAAATCATCGCTGTCAAATAAAGTGGTTTCATTTGTAGACACAGGAAGTAGGATGATTAAAAATGAAAATGTTGACAGCCACTTTCCACACATCTCTAGCTTTTAACAGGCTTGAAGTGTTTGAAGTAACCATTTATAGTTCACACAAACTAAATCCTGATCTTATTCCTCTCCAGACAACCAGAACCCTGCTGCTGTTTTAACAGTTGTTTTGTAGAGTCAGTACTTTACTACTAGAAGAGCGGTTGGATCTGAATTGAGCTTCGTCTGACTCAGTTCATGATATTGCACAAGGCCTGTGTGCAACCAGCCCAGATGGCTGTCTTTTGTCGCGTGTTCAGGTGCTGAGTAACTCGATGGAGTATATTTTTATTATTTTAATGTTATGATGTTTGATCGTTTATATTTTTGTGGGTGTTGGTTTTTGTGTATGATATAGTGGTTGGTCATAGTGAGTAGGTAAGAAGGTAGGTGAGCTTGGTCAGCATATTTCTGGTTCATTTGTTTTATTGACAGCTCGTGCTTCTTTAGCCTTTTTCACACAAATACACCAGAATATGTGAGGCAGGCGGCCCCTCCAATCTTCTGACTTGGGTGTTCACACGAGGGATGTTCGTTGCTCGCAGAGAATATTCCTGAATATTTCCTGCTGCGTTCTCACATCAACTCGCCCTGACTTCACACGGTCATTTTACTAGGAGGGTGGCAGGGAAAGGCTGTGGTCCTCCAGGCGAGCGGCCTGGGTTCGAATCCGGCCTCTGGCTCCTTTCCCGCATGTCATTCCCCTGATTTCTGACCCTATCCACTGTCCTATCTCTACCATAAAGGCACGAAAAGCCCAGAAATAAATCTTCAATAAAAATAAAAAAAGTGGGTCTGTTCACACATGCAGCTCACCCCAAAAATGTAGGATTGTGTGAGGCACTATTGATCACTGAGATTATTTTTGATGAGTAGTTTGTGTACGTCCTCAAGGGTTGATCATCTTTTTTGTTAATAAATGTGTAAATGTAATTTTTAAGCTCGTCAGACTTTTATTTCTCAACTTATTTGTTCTGTGAAGTTGCTACAGCAATAGAAGGTTTTTTCAGGGTGAGATTTTTTTTGTTGTTGTTTTGTTTTTAGCTCACCTGCAGGCACGATGACCCTCTTCTCCTCTGTGGTGGTGCTGCTGGGTGGGGTGTTGGTCTGGGGGCTGACTCGGGGCTCCGGGTACGTTGCCTGGTAGGACATGGGAGCTGCGTCGTTGCTCATGTGTCGGGAGCGTTTGGTGACGCTGCAGTCCACAGGGGACGCACGGCTTGAACAGAGAGGAAAGAGCTTTAAGTCGAGGCTAGACGGGAGTCAACATCTCAAAGCTTAGAAATGTCATTCACTATCAGTACAGGTTTCTTAATCTAGCTTGTTGTATCTATATGCCATTATATCATTGATTTCACAGTTTGAACTAGAGATGCAAGTTTGTTACTTGTTGCAGAGTTTGCTAATATCTGACAGTCAGTTTTTCTGAATCTTAACTCTGACCACTCTCATAGTAATGACACATCACTGTTGCTTCTCCAAGTTGTCTGTCAGTGATTTTCCTCTAAAAACTAAAAAAAAGGGAAATCTACTTTCCTCACTTTTTTCGGCTGTAGACAAAGTTAAATAGCTACCACCGGGGGGCAAGCGTAGAAACTTTTCCTGAGCTATTAAAGGAGCTTGATCAAATGTTTCCGATACCTTTTCCAATGTGAAACTTTAACAAGCCCATAAAATACATTTTACAAGACTAAAACTCAAATTGACAACATACATTTAACAATTGATTTAAATGGTGTCACGCTTTTTCATCGTGAAGTCAAACTATTAAAACATACAACTGAGATTGGCTGGTACATAGTACAAGTATGAGGATGCGGGATAATTGTAAAAATACGAGTTTTACTTGAGATTTTCTCCAACAAAGTTTAAAAAGTATGTTTTTTTTCTTCGCCAACAATGACAATGTGATTCCTTGTTTCCAGAATTGAAACCTTGACACTTCTAAGTGTTGAAACAACAAAGGACAAAGGCTTGCGTCTTGTAGTAGGTCGGTAAACAAACATATTTAGGATCTGGAAAATCCCCAGCTGCTGACCTGGATTGTGAGAATTTTACATTCAGATAATCCGGGAACCTGCGCTCCCCTGTGGCCCGTTCCTGACTCACCTGGTTCCATTGACGTGTTCGCCTCTTTTCCCAGAGTTTTGCGTCGCTGACCCCACCCACTCCGGCTCGGCGGGCTCGGGACTATGCTTGGACGTCTGGCTGAAGCCCCCTGGCGACGTCATCTCCGTTTTCATGTGCATGGCGGGGGCTGTGGTGTATGCAGGCTCGAATATAGGCTGATCCTCACTCACCACTGCAAGCGCTTCCTGTTAAACAGAGTCACAGCGGTCAGTGTTGGTCATTAACGTACCGGGTCACAACCTGTGGAAACTGTTTTTTTATTTCTACACCGAGACTAAAGATGCTTTAGTGAATGAAAACAAAAGTCAGACTTTTATAAACCTTTAAATTTGATGAAGTGGAACAACAGATGGAACAAGATCTCAATTTTACTTACAAAAGAAATGGAAAATATACTTTTTTATTGATCTCGGTTGTGAATTTAAAAAAAAATCATATTCCACAGGATTTCCTAAAAAAGGAGAAAACCATGTCTCCCTTATCAAAGCTGCTTAAAATATCCACTACATAATAAAAAAAAAACATTAATATCAAGCCATATTTTTTACTTATCGTGTTTAAAGATCAGAAACTTCTCAGTTGAGGAGGAGGATTTCTGTGAATCTGATATTGTGTGCAGAATATTCAGATATCATTTTATATTAACTCCACCACGCGTTTCTTTCTTCTTCTGATGCATGCTTTGCCGTCAAAAAAAACATTTTGGTACATTTTATACTCTTTATTTCAGGTATTATTGGATGCCCTAGCTTCTTTTTTACCCCGTCTACAGTCAAGTCTTCAAACTAGCATTTACTCAGAGGCCGCTTTACTGCAGAATGTGAGGATTGTTTTCAACATGTAACCCTCTCAAAAATTCATAGTTTTGTTATTTATTTCTCAGAATCAAATGCAAAGTATGTTTTTTTTTTTTTTAAAGCAGAAACTTTCTGGTTGTGTCGATTTCTGGCGACCCCTGCTGACACAGCTGGATAAGTCATCTGTTTGCTGTTCACGTGTGAGTCATGTGTTCTGATCGTATCCTTCATTTAAAAAATATCTAATATGAAAATCACAATGAATCATTATTAGTATAAAAAATCTAAAGAAGGCCATCTCTGCAGCAGCGGTGAGAGGTTTATTCTGTATGATAGTTAAATGGTAAAAAGCTCCTTTGTGATGATCTAGTCTTCATTTGAAGGTCATATATGGAGGCTTCAGTATTAATCTGTCTGTTTAATAACCAGTTTAAAACTCCTCTGAGGAGTTTAAAGTTAATTTATATTGATTACAGTTTTTTTGTCCGTTAAATCAAAAGGAGATAAAAGAGTTTATCAAACCACTTAGAGAAATACTTAACAGTGAAGTTACAAGTTAACTTTTCACAAATATTGTGAATACATTCAAGAGGCTGTGCAATCTTGAGGAGCATCAGTCACCTCAACCACACGTCTATTTTGTCGTTAGAATTGGGGTTGCAGAGTGGGGGAGGGGGGTGGTAGCTCAAGGTGTAGTCTAATCAAGATGTAGGTCTGTCTTCCTGTGTTCAGCACCTACAGCGATGCCTCAAAAGCAGCCTGAGATGGCCTCCTCATCCCGCACACTTAGGAGTTGAAAAAGCAGCGGACCTGTTGTCCTGTCTGCTGCTCAAATTAAGTGTGTGCGTGTGCGGTCGCAGCAGTCCGAGTGCGTGTTTGTTTAGAGGAGTTGAGCATTGTCTTTGGGCCTCGCACGTCACTGGCGTGCTTTTTCAGTGGCCTACAGGAAACCTGGCCGCCATGTGCAGAGGAACCTTTTTTGGCACAGGCCAAAGGAGAGGAAACGGTGGAGGAGGGGGCGCAGTGTAAAAATATGGGTCATTTTAAAGCTGGAAAACAAGCCTGTGGTCAGAGGAGGAGGAGGAGGAGGGGGGGTCAGGTTGACTGGACAACCAGAAGAGTGCAGCCTTGATTGAAGTGCCGCCTTCGCATTGTGTTTTTCCTCTCAATTGTTGTCCGAGCATTGTAAACCACATCTTAATGCATGCCACACAGTTTGGCATTTCCTGCCGGCTGCAGACAAACTCGGACAGAAGTCAAAAGGAGTGGGCTTGATTTCAGCAGCCTAACACCTTTGCTTTAAAGGATGTTATGATGTACCAGATAGATTCCCTCTTCTTTTTTTTTTAACCACTTTTATTTTCATTTATTTATTTAACCAGGAAAAACTTCTTGAAATTAAAGAGTGTGTTCTGGCCAAGACGGGCAGCAACACAACCGACAGAGTGTCTGACAAACAACGAGCAGCCAAACATACAAATACAACAAAGTCTAAAAACTAAACAGCAAAACAGATGTGTCATGCTCTAAGTCATTTAACACCTCTCAGAATCATCCAATGAGAGCGGCTCATTAAGTTTCAGTTCTTTGTGTAATTCGTTACAGGGAGCAGCAACCTGAAACGCCTTTTCCCCACGTCAGTTCTGACTTTTGGAACAGACCACAAGAAAAAAAATTATGTTTTAGCTGTAATGATTAATCAATAAAGTACCTCGTTGTGAGCCATTTACTTCATTGCTAACAATTTTTATGTTTTTCACATTCATCATCTCTCAGATAAAACGGTAAAAGTTCTACGATTCGCATGATTATTATTTATTTTTTTTACTTGATTCCTTTTACTGAATATCTCTGAGCGACAATTTTTCCCCATTTTATGACAATGAGACAATGTGGAAGTGCCACAGGCGCAGTTCGTCAAGTGTTCAATAGAGGCTGGCTGCAAAAGTGGGTAAGTCCCATTTTTACAGCAGAAATAAACAAGTTTACAGCCTTGTTTAAAAAAATTCTTCGTGCTAACTTCAAAGAGAAAAATGCTAACCTTTAGTCAAATACCAGCCATTTTGGCATACAAGTATTCTTAAATGAGGCCTTACTGCGACCGGTAAAAATGCCAGCCGTTTTGACATTTGCAAGCCTTTAAATAGTTTTACTTGACACTAGTCCTTGTTTTTTTTTTCTTCCTTCAGCTAATTTGTTTTTTTGTCACTTGTGTTGGTTTGTCCTCTTTCCCCCAGTCTTCCTCTCACACACTCGCGGCACCTTCAGAGGCCTTCTTCTCTGTGCAGAAGTGAAACAAGGTGCCAGAGACCCAGAGGAGAATAAAACAGCTGCAGAAAGCAAATTCTCAGGAGAGCAAATAGTAGTCAATATTTTTGCTAAATGGTTAAAGTTGATTTTTTTTTTTTTTAGCTGTTGAACAATCAAACTGATAATGCTGTTGTGACCGGTGGCCACACATCACACTCAGTTTTGTACAGAGAGTACATTTTGTGACAGGCTCATGCTTTCACAACCACAAACACACACTCCCGCTCTTTCTTAACCTTCCTCTCTCTCTCTCTCTCTCTCTCTCTCTCTCTCTCTCTCTCTCTCTCTCTCTCTCTCTCTCTCTCTCTCTCTCTCTGCACACTGATACAAATATACTTAAATGTGGCCTGACCGCTAATACCACAACTGACTTCCTGTTCTGTTGCTCAGTAACTTGCTTCTCAACTTAAAAAAAAAAAACATGACCTTCTTCAGGCTGAGCGTACCTTGTGCATCGATGTCCTAAAATTTACACGGGTTGTGTTTGATTTGACAGTAAACATTTTCTTTTTCTTTCTGCGAGAGCACAAACATGAAGTCCTGAACGGAAACTTTTTTTTTTTTTTTTTTTTTTTTACTTGGCTTCATGTCAGCAGCTTTACAGGTTGCATCATGCAGCCTTGCCCAAAACCAAGAACTTGTAGCATGATCAGAGTGTTTACAGCATGCACACTTTTTACACGAACACTTACATTCTGAATAAATATTAAAAAGCATTGTGTTTGATAGTTATTCCCTAATCTACTCTGCAGTTTGAAAGCAGCTCCAATCATATTTTTCTACTTTTTTAAAGTATTATTTTTATCCTGCCTGAAGTGTTATGTGGTAATCTTGTTATGAATCAAACCTGCAGGGTGTTGGTACTTTTAAGACTCAGGGCTCTCGTTCTTTTTATTCCAGAGACACCAGAAACATCTTGTCTTCTGCTGTAACATCTGTTTTTATACTTACTGGGCGGTGCAGTCTCATAGATCTTTACTTATTTTAAATCAATTAATCATTAAAACATTTATTTTAAGTTGTTTTCTGTAGGGATATTGCTCTTACTATTGCTTCTCATCATTGACTGAGATTATTTTTTATATTCAATCGATTCATCTTTAAACTAAAAAAAAAAAAAGTGTCATCAAAATAATGCCCAAAATAACGTCTTCAAACCGTTTCTTTCCTCCAACCAAAGGATTAAAATCACAAAACACTCTTTGTTTACTGTGAGTAAGGACAAGAAACAAGCAGATGTTGGACATTTCGGCAACAAATGAATAAATGATCAGAAGTGTTGGTGAGTCATTCCTTACGATTGAGTAATATAGATTAATTGATAAATTGATCCAGCTTTAGTTGACTTCCTTGAAACCATTTTGGTATCAATCAGTGTGAGCAAGGACGGTTTTAAGGGATTATTTTAATGACGGTTTACCTGTCTGTGGTTTTCTTGCTTTATTGTCTGTGTAGTTTCTCAGTCATCCAGGTCATGGTAAATAAGAAGCTTGACCCAAAAGCACCTAGACTGGTTGAAAATCTTGAAGACGTTTCACATCTCCTCCGAAAGACTTCTGAACTATCTGGTGGATGGAGCTAGAACTGTGAGCCTCTGCTCTCTAGCTCCGTCCACCTGATGGTTTAGAACTGTAGAAGCTTTTCAGAGGAGATGGGAAAGGTCTTAAAGATCTTCAACCAAGTCCACTTTCCTTTGGGTCAAGCTTCTAATTATTGCTTTATTGTCTGGTCTGTTAAACATCAGAAAGCAAAGTATAACAGTTGCAGTGAACAAACATCCATAGATTAAATTGATGTATGTTGCATGTTATTTTTTCACCAAATAGGTCCATATGAAAAATAGTCAACTCTGATATAAATCAAACTAAACAGCCATTTATTTTGTTCAAGAACCTTTTGCATGTTTTTTTTTTTATCTTGGAAAAAAAGTATCTAAAATGACTCAATGTGTCATCATCGTATTAACCCGTCAGCTCTGAGGGAAACACTAAACCAGTGGCTCCTCACATAATCACAGAAAGCATCCACAAAACATTTTCTTTATTTTCGTCTTATCTTTGCTTTGAATTTATTTTAGTATTTAGATTTTTTTTTTGTCCTGTAAAAATGGTTTGTATTAACAAAGAGGGAGGTGGAAAACTATGTGGTGTTGCAATATTTTGGTTTTCTGCTTCGTTTAAAGGGGTCACAAGCCAAACAGATTTGGAACCGCTGCAAAAATCAAAAACCAAGGATGTGGTAAACTCAAACTTTCAATCCTGCACCAGTTATTTTGACTTAAGTCTTTAATTTGAAGGCCTTTTACGAAGTTTTTAGACACTTCAATAATTAATTTGTTCACTTTTAAGAAGCTGCATGGTGGTGACATAATCCACAGTAAGAAATAATTTCATTCTGACTTTATTCCCCTCCTGAGCGCATGGAGAAATACTTTTAATGACTGATATCTGACTTTAAAAGCAGCAGCAGTCACGTGTGATTTCTTGACGATAATGCTTTGTTTGAAATAAGAAACTTAGTGATTTGTGTCGTTCTCCAGTGTGTGTTTCTTGAAATTAAAAATATAAAGCTATTTCTGAGACCTGTGTATGGCTATAACCCAACAACTTAAACATACTTTGATCATATATCAATGTTGCCTTCTGACCAGGTTATAGGTTGGACATTGATGTGCTTTAATAACACAAAGTGTAGTCCAAAGTGTAGTCCACAGTATCAGGCCACAGATCAAGTTGTGCAAAGACTCTGTACTCTCGCCCTGCGTGTCTGAGGCAAGTGTCAGAAAGCAGAAGTAAGAGTTAAGCTGATTTTGCAAAGGCCTGAGCAGCTGCACTTTCTGCTACGCAAACATCGATTGCGGTTTTCACAGCACCCGGGCCTCTGCTGCAGGCCGCAAACACAGAGCAGGACCCGGGTCTCCTGCACCTCCCTGCCTGTGTGAGCGGACACTTGAAGGGTTAAAACAATGCGAAGGCTCACTTTGTCCACTCTGTTTTTTTTCTGCAGGGGCTTTGTTGCGTTTTCTACTTTTTTTTCTTTTTTTTTTTTTCGAGTTGGGGAGCGGAAATGTGTGCGGAAAGTCTGAGGTCTGAGACAGGAAGCCTGCAGAGTTCAGATAACGACACCTGACAAGTGCTGCTCCCGTTTGCAGCAATAAATTAGACTTAAAATAACCTCAAACACACAATCTGCTGCCACACACTATAAGACAATCACAAGGAACATATCTGCACAATAATTAAAATAATAATAATCACGTTGTTTACGATTCGTTATCAGTAAACAACAAAAGACAAGAATATAAAATATGAATGCACTTTTTAACTGGCATATTTGATTAATCAAGTTGCAGGATATCCTCCATATCCTGCGCTGGCCCTTTAATTACTCTCATTGTATGTCCTAACGAAAATAAAAGTTAATCAAATGGGTTAAACATCCAAAATGCATCCTCGTATAGGTCTACATTTGGTTTCTTAGAAACGAATCAAAAGAGGAACGACAGAAAAAAGGCCTATTTGTTGTTTTTAACCGACTAACCTCCCTTTTTTTCTTTATTTTTCATGTTTGATTAGTTGATTTGGTTATTTTCTTTTTACACAAATCTGTTCGCATGTAGCATGACATTAGTTTCTTCAGAAGGCTGCGATGTTTAAAGTTGCAGCATTGACAATAAAAGCTTACAGGCCAATGTTGCATTGCAGACGCACATTCGTTTTATAAAAAATAATTTGTAGGCCTACTGGTCATTTATGGCTCCAGTGCATCAGATAAAACGCGTTGATTTTCTATCGTTGAGGCTTTGATACTTGTTTAGGATTGATTTAGTGAAAAACTTAGTCTTACCGTAAATTCCTGGCATGAAGGCCTTTTTTATTCTGAGTGTTTTAGACGGGAGATAATTTCACAAATTGCCGTCAGACGAAGAAAAGCAGGTGAAGATGCAAAAGTATGTAATTTGAAATACCAGTTATGATGGAAATGACTCCTCTTGCTGTTTTAAAAAAAAAAGGTTCAAACTGTGTCCAAGTGGGTCCATGGCGCCTTCAGGGACACCTGCCGCGTACGCACCAATTAAATCCCTTCATTAACTTAAACTACTCTCCGTCAAAAAACAGAAGAAGGAAGAAATCCGAAAGCCGTTTGGTAATGTTGGGTAGATAATCTCTTCGTGCGTTATTTTTGTTGTTGTTTTCGGTTCTGTTTATTCAGAAGGACGAACTCGAATAAAAGCAGCAATTATGTTTAAAAAAAAAGAAAACGGACCGCGAGCGTGTGGAAATCCTCTCGCGCGTGCAAGTGGCCACCAATTAGTGTTTTTATCTGAGTGTAAAGATGTAGCGGTTAGTTGTGTTATTATAGAGCCGACATACAACCACGAACGGGAAGGAAGAGGAAATTTTGTACAAGAAGGAAAGAGTGGGGAGCTCGCATCACCGCCTCGCCTCTCTCACTCAGCAGCAGTTTGTGTTGTTGGTGTGGGTGGCTGCCTGTCCTTTCATTTTCCCCCTCCAGTAGCACCTTTAAAACGGATCAAACACGTACCTTTATCGTACAGTCCATTGCAGCAGCCTCGCGCTCTTTGTCATTGAGTCGTTTTGGGTAAATCTTTCAGATAATTGAGCCGTAAAACCTCACTTCAATGCATACAGGGGTGCATCGGCTCTATGGCGCAAACCATTGCAGTTACAATTTTTTTTTGCTCACAGACCATAACCGGATGGCAAGTCTCTCTCTCTCTCTCTCTCTCTCTCTCTCTCTCTCTCTCTCTCTCACTCACTCTCTCACTCTAAATTGGGAAGTGAAGTCACACAGAAAGCACTGAAACTGCTTCTCATGAAACCGACAATTTCTGCCTTAAGAAGAAAAAAACAAAAAGAGCTCTTAGGCTCTTATTTATGTGTATGAGCTTTATGTCTAGAATATTGGAAGACATAACATGGGGAGCAGGTGCATCTAAACTCCCATGTTATTCATTCACACCAAATCTCCAGCATTAAAAAGAAAGAGGCAACTTATTACCAATTGTTCCTAAAGGGGCTGACCAAAAATAGCTTTTGTGGTTTATAAACGGAAATGTATTTTTTTAGAATGTGTCTTTTTGTAGACTTTACACTATTTTAATGTCAGGCTTTTTGAGGGGAGTAGAGTGGGGCGATTGTCAAAGTCTGTTGGTGCCCAACTAGCGTTCATCGACATGTTATGACACCAACAAAAAAAGCAAAATGTAAGAATATTTTTTATTTCCAAAATGTCCTATTAAGTATCATTTTCAAAATAAAATGATGATGAACATTTAAAAACCTATAATTTCAAAATATAGAAAGTTAGAATAATAAAAACCAGAACAAAAAGCTTCAATCTTCAAGTCAATTTGAAGTCAAATACCTTTGATACTGAAAAAGAGCCAGTATCCACATAAGTACATCACATATAGAATAATATGTTGTAATTAGCCTTAAATTATAAAAGCAATGTCATTTGCTTTTATATGTAATCATTATCTACCACAATAGAGAAACTGATTTTGGACTGATTAGCTTTGTCGATTGGCACACACTGTACAGGGGGTGAGGTGGGGGGGATCTTTGATAAGCATTATTCACTTTAAGGAGTTTAGCTGACAGGTAATTTAACAGTTTGTCATGAGGCTTAAAACGATTCAGTTTCAGCCTGTCGTTAGGTTGACTGAAAGTCGGGTTGAGACAGCATTTCCAGCATGGCGGCCCCCATGGATTGGACTCCAAAAGCCCCCTGCAGGAACAGACGTGGCACGTCACTCAGGCTTTGTCCATTATTATTTACAGTCTATGGTTAGGAGGCCATAATCAGATAGGCAGACATTCCTAGCTAACATTGCTTAAAGTAAGTTATTTAAGCTTGTAACGTGAAATCATCAAACGTTAAAGTTAGCTAGTAAGTAGTTTAATGCTAACGTTAGCTTCTGTCTCTTGTTTGGTATTTATAAGTTGTAAAATATGCTGTTTTATCTGGACCTGTCTCCTTCTAAATTGCTCCATTAATAGACCATTTTTGTGTTTGTACACAGTGATTTGGTAAATGGTGAATGGACTTGAGCTTGTAAAGCTCTTTTCTAGTCTTCTGACCGCTCAAAGCGCTTTTACACCGCGGGTCACACCTTCCCGTTCACACTTTCACACTTTCACACTGATGGCTGAGGAGACATCGGACATGTGGATGCAGGAGCTGGGGATCAAATCCCAGACCTTCTGATTGAGAGACGACTGACTTTACCAACTGAGCCGCAGCCGCCCCACATGTTTCTGTGGACAGAGCCCAACTGTTGGCAGAAAGTTAGCTAGCAGTATCTTGCTGTCAGTTCACATCAGAAAGTTATGGACCATCTGGATGCCTTCTACAATTACTTTAATTGTTTGGCTGCGGAAGACGACATGCCTCACAGTGAGACGCTGACCCTTAGAAATGGGGTGATGTCTCCTGACCTGTACTTACTGTCTGGTCATTGGGTCAACAATCATACTGAAAAGGCCAAAGTTACAGTGATTGGACATCTTTGTGTACCTCGTGGAGAAACCCAGCATCCATGCTAAATCTCATGAAGCATACAGGTTTTTGCGGTTCTGTCCAGGACGCTAAAGACTGAGATACGACGGATGGTTCTTGTGTACAAAGGCCGACGTACTGTCTAGTCAGCAGCAAGGCCATAAATGCAACTATGCAAGATGTTGTATTGACTTCTGCATTTTGCTACAAAGGGTGTCTTTGCTGACAGTATTCTATAGAAATAGAGATCATACATTTTCACTTTCTCTTGACATTTCTTCTCATATCAGGGATCTGTCCAGCTTCTCTCTATTACTTGCCGCTTGTTTCAACAGTTTTTTCTCCCACACGATGCATGTTCAACTGCCGAGAGGTAATCATGACATCACTCATCAAACGTTGTATTCTAACACTAGTAGTGTTTGAGCCATGCTCTTCACTTTCATTGTAGGCAACCGGCTACATGAGGTTGATTTGAGGTGTTTTTTTTTTTGTGATGTGGATGGTGTATACGTTCAACAGATTTTGAAAAGCTTTATTGAGCACATTGTTAGATTTGAGGCATGTTACTGTAAGATCTTGGATCATTAATCATCTCTGATCTCTTGCCGGCAAATTAAGGAGGTCACCAAATGCATCCCAGGCTCCTTGAGTTTTGTTTGAAGGAAGTTGAACGTCTTTGTTATCCACTGATCGTTTCTGTTCTTTCTTGTAGCCCTGTCCAGATTGAAGATTTGAGCATTTTTTTTAATGGCAAACCATGAAATCCGGCCTGATGCAACTATGTGAGAATTAAAACAGGTTTTGTTTCCTTTGTTAATATTCTTGTTCAGAGCAGCCTTTAAAAAGTCCCTTTTATTATTAGGAGGGTAATGATACACCAGTATTCAATTCAATTCAAATTCAATTCAAAAAACTTTATTTGTCCCCGGGGGGCAATTCAAAGGCACACAGAGCAGTAAATTAACAACAGTGCAAGTAAACAAAACATTTTAACCTAAATATAAAGTGTCAATTTAAATACAACTTAAAGCTTGAAAAACCATGGAAAACAATATATCTAAAGAAAAAATAAACAGTAGAAAAACATAATAAATGCTAAATAAACGCTAAATAACTGCTCTGTGCGCCGGCCAGTCTTCCGCACGAGCAGCGACCCAGAACCGGAACCGGTATAGATACACAAATACATTAAATGATCAACAGTTCAGTTTCATTGATACAAAGAAAACAAAATTGGATTCTGTAGTGGTGTCTTGAACATACTCGGACAGATACATCTACAAAACAATGTATATTTGGTACACTTTATATTAGAAGATAATACATTGTTTTTTATTTGAAATACAGCGAACGCCCCATGCACAGAGGCCGTAGTCCTCGAAGCTGGCAGCCGTGGTTCAAACCTGACCCGTGGCTCCCTTTGCCGCATTTTAATCCCCACTCTCTCTGGCCCTGATTCCTGACTCTATCCACTGCCCTATCTCTACAATAAAAGCATTAAAAAAAAGCCCAAAAGTAAATCTTAAAAAAAAAAAGCACAAACTTAATTCTATCAATCTTTAAATCTATCATTTTTATTTGTTTAACGCCAGGTTGTAACATCTCAAGACACAAAAAGGTTAGGTCTCGTGTGTATTAGTATCTGTTATTATCGTCATTATTAGTAGTAGTGTCAATCCACCATGGGCAAGCTTTTGGCCACTTTATCAATAAATGCAACATAAACATTAATGCAGCAGTATTACATGTGATAGTAAAACAATGAAAAGAACCAATTATGAAAAAGTAATTATTGATACTGTATGTATGCCAGGACTGCCCATGGCTGGGCCTCTGAAAGGCCAAGTGAATGGGCCTTCCTTAGTCATTTCATAATATCAACTTGTGAACATTGGATCAGTAGCCTTCTGATCAGCTTTTAGAGGTGTTTGAATTAAAGTTAGTTAAAGGTCGTGGCATGGCTATACACCGTTTGACATGAATGATCTGAGAATTCAGTTTAATGGGCTCCACACACAACATTACAGAAAAATGGGTTTAGGGTTTAAAGGGGGTTTACATTTTGAAACAGGCAACAAGCAACAGAATGTGCGTGTTTTTGGTTTAATAAGTAATGAGTTAGTGTACATTAAGGTTTGATTGCTGACATTTAGGATCGACTGTGTCTTGCACACCTCCCCTCAGTACTGTTTTTTAATTAAACATTTTTTACTCTCGTGTCATGCTTGCCCCGTCTACTCAAATCCCTTATCTGTGTAGTCGGTTCTGATCCCAGGTGGTTCCTGATGGCTCTCTGCAGACGCTCGTTAATCACCTCGTGTTGTGTAACTTTATCCCGGTTGTGTCCTTGTCTTGAGGTGGGGTTCCCAATCACGACTCCCGTCTCCCCCGGACGCGCACGATTTCACCCTGCCTCACTTTTCCAGATGGAGTTGGCCCTCAGTGTGTGTGTGTGCGTGTGTGTGTGCGTGTGTGTGTGTGTGGGTGTGTGTGTTTGTGTATAGCCTGTGTGTGTGTGTGTGTGTGTATGTGTCACGCAGGAGAATAGCAGAGATGTTTGTTTATACAAGGCCCTGGGCTCGGCCTTATCTGCTGCAGCCACTCACGCCGTGATTTCGGACTTTCTTCAGTGAGCACTTTGAGTGTGTGTGTGTGTGTGTGTCTTGGTGTTTGTGTGTGTGTGTTTTACAGGCCATTGTTTTGTCGAATGGTCTCTAAAGATACAGAGTTTTTTTTTTCTTCTTCCCACCTCATTAAAACCCGACTGCTGTGATTTCAAAAAAAGCCTCCACTTCATCCCCACGACCCCACCCATGCAGACCGCCGCTCAGTTATTTAGTCCCGCCTGTCAGACAATCAGCTTGAAATAAACTCGGGAGAGATTAAAAATGCACATGCTAATTGTTGCGTCTCGTTTTAAAATAAAATATGCTTTACGTTTTCCTCTGTTAGGATTCTCCATATTTTATCTTCAAGATCTTTAAGGACGAATATTTCATAACTTCATTAGCATTTTTGTGGGTAAAGGATATTCATTAAAAAGTGCCTCCCTTCTTATCAGTATTAGACAATTAACATTAACTTCCAAACAATCCATATTGGAAAGCTTTTAAGAAAGTTATTACGCATTTCAGCCAACTGCCTTCCATGTAGACTATTACATGGGTAGCATGCTGTTTTTATTTTGTAATATTTTATATATAGCCTATAATTAGGGAGCCCAGTTTTATGCAATAAACTTTTCCAGGGCTGTATTTCCGAATATTTTTATTTATTATCTCGTTTTGTGTAGCCTATGGAAATAGTGATAGGAAGAAATGACCAGACTTTAAATGTTTTGCTTATTCCGACCAACAGTTTGATGTTTGCTTGAGGACTATGACACTAATTTATTATCACCATTTTTATATGTTTTGATCGGTTAACCAATAAGTCCTTTCACTGACACGTATAGGCCTGTTAATAAATTCAAAGCTGATCAGAATAATGATGGGTTTAGTTTTATATTTTACGACAGTCACATAGTCGTGCTTTTTAGAACAAGACTTTGTCTGTAGCCTACTCAATAGGCTATATATGAGTTTGTAATGCCTCAGTTAAGGTTTAACCTTAAAGCATATATAGCCTTTATTTTTATTTATTTTTCATAATAGGGCACATTTGCCCGCATTCTTCTTCTTTAGCCCTACGTTTGTTCTTGATAAATACTCTTATTGACGATGATTGTACAGTGTATTTCTCCACAAGGCTGCACAACTAAAGTAACATAATTAAGGCCTACCTTAATTATGCCTCAAAACCTAAAAAATAGGCTACTATAACCTATGGGCTGTAGTTTCATGATCAGTCATGGATATACATTTACTCATATTTGACACTTTTTTGAGTGATTTAGCGTCACTTCTTCTTATCGTGAAAATGAGACCTTTATAAATTGTAAGGGAGGAGAGCCATATCGCTGCTCTAATTAGGAAACCTTTTAGGCCCTTAATTAGGGTATTCTACTTTTAGTCGCCTATAGGCTGTTAGATATTTTATTGGTGTATTTCTGCACTTTGACACTTTCACATCCTCAGCAAAGTAAACTAAGTTCTTCCAACACTGGTAATCGATTAACACTCGTCGTGATAGTTTGCCGGAGGATTTACGGCATGTGAGTCTTTCATGAATGACTCTTTTGCCTCTTGCTGTTAGGGAGGGCAATGTGTGACGTCACGCTCCAACAGCGCTGGTCACGACGCTACGCGGGAGGGGGGGGGGGGGACGCGCCCCTCCCACCTCCTCCGCTGCGCTTATAATGGGCCCGGAGTGAGACCACTGACCACACTCGTTGTTGTTGTTGTTTTGCGCTGGATATAGTCTATATTTTAGGGTGTAAAAGTAGAAAACGGCGTAAAACACGGAGATGTACTGGGACTCTTTCATCAAAACAGGAGACAGAGACTTGGACAGCAAAGACTCGAAAATAAAGGTAGGGGCTTTACTTAAGTATTGTTTTTAAGATATCTCTTTAATGAGTACTGGAAGCAATGCCATTCATTCATAATAGCCAGCTTGTAGTGTCTGTAATATTTTAAATAATAATAATAGTAACATCACAATTTGTCTTATTTTTCTCTCCACTGATTTCTTGATTTTTTAAAATTAATTTAAAGTTATGTTTAAAAGAAAAAATGTTATAATAAGTGTGATATGAATACCTGAGCTTTATATCTCCTAAATGATTTGAAGTGCACAGTGTCGTAAATGCCTCTGCCTTCGGATATTGACAAAGAATCAAAGTTGCAGTGATGACAGAAGTTGTAATCAGGACTCTTTCACCACAGATGGAGGTTTGTCAGACGGGATATTACACAGAAGACTTCAGGACACAGGAGGTGCCAGCTGGCTTTGACTTTGCATCATATGGTGAGTTTAGGGAATCACCTGACTTTTGCTTTGTCCATCACAAGTTTTAAACATCATGACTTATGACTGGTTCAGGGTTTCACAGCATGGATCTCTCTTTCCCCCCCCCCCCTTTCATCAATGTTTGCACGATCTGTTTCCTCTGAACCTGAGCAGCTGAAGGACAGAGGAAATATTTGCGCAGACTGCATCATCACATCTGTCACAGCTTTCTCAATGAGACCTTGACACAGACCCGGGGTTTTGGGTGGTTCTCACTCAAACATAGGGGCGATATCAGGATAGTGTGTGTGTGTGTGTGGGGGGGGGGCTCTGTGAATATGTGTGTGTGAAATAATGCTTGAATGGGCTGAGGTAGGCAAAGACCGAGAGGGAGTGTCTTTTAACCTGACCACCCTGTTTCTCTCAGTCTCCCCTAATCCTTTCCTCCAGACTTCCTCCTCCAACAGATTTAAAGACCCCCTCCTTCCTCCCCTCTCCATCCCTCCATCACTACTCTGTCACACTCCCTCCACTGGCGTTTCCTCTTCTCTCTTCCTCCCCCTCCCTCCCTTGTTTCCTCCATCCATTGAGTTGAGGTGCATGGGCTTGAGTGCCTGGTGCTGATTCGACAGTAAACAAATGGCTTTTTTTTCTTTCGTCAACATCCCCAGTTAAGATACATAAAAATAAAAAGAACAAATTCGACCATCTTCAAGGACCAAATCAGTGATTTGTTTTTTACATTTTTAAATGTACTTTCTGCATTTTAGCACCCTCTGGTGTTAAATTTATTCTTACACAGTAAGAAGTCAAAAAGATTTTAAAAAATACATTGTAGAAAGCTGTTTGTATTGTTTGTAAATAATCCTAACACTTGAGCTGCGAGTCTGAGCTGTTTAACTGTGGTGCGTTCATTGGTTGCTCCAATATCTAAAATTCAACACTCCAAATGCCAAGAAGCCAATGCACTCACATGTTTGGTAAAAAGGAAAACAAACTATGCAGTCACCAAAATGGATGTAAATATTCACATCCTGCCTGAAAAAGTTGTTTGAATTTATCTACGAAGCAGCTGATTCTGAAGTCTGGATTTCCCCACAGCGCCTAAATGCATCCAAAAAAATAACTAGTTTTCACAATCAGTGGATATTACTTACTACTTATTCAAAGAACATTTGGAGTCTCTGACAGTGAATATTTCGACACGCTCATGATTTGAATGGAAGTCAATAAAAACCAGAAGCGAAGCAGCTATCCCCCCCCCCAAAAAAAAACCAAAAAAACAAAACAAAAGTTGCCTTTGAAAAACCAATCATTGATTTGGTCCTTCCCAAGCATGTAATATGCCTCTATCCTGCCGTCATCATCATTCACCGACTCCATCTGTCTGCACTGTGTTTAATCTCCAGACTACCCTGGTGAAGACCTGTCTTTTCTGTTAGACAGCAAAGCACCTGGACAGCAGCAGTATGTCACAGAAAGCAGCTACGCAGAGCCGCCGAAAGCTTCTCACCCATATGACACTAAAGGTGAAACTTCTAAATACCAACAACAACAACAACACAAAACATCCACACATTAATGGATGCAAAATGAGTGAAATATTGGTGGTTATCTCACCATGTTTGCTGTTTTTTCTTTCTTTCCAGTGAGCACCAGTGACACGGCTCTCTTCAACCTGGACTCGTACCAGGAGTTCAACTGGTGGGCCTCGTACCCACATGGTGAGCCTTATTGGACTGTGCGGCCTTATAATGTTCATAAAGTACATATTTAAAGGCTTTTCTTTTTGTGACTAACTTTCTTTTCAATGAACAGACGGGCTGACAGTAGACCAGCCTCAAACTGGATACCAGGAGTCTCCACAGACGTACCAGGGTCTGGTGCCTCAGAATGGACAATTCAGCCCCTCCATTGAGGGCAGCAACAGCCCCTTCGTACCTGCAAAAGGATCAAATACATTACAAAGTAAGACATTTCCACTTTTGCTATCTAAAAGAGTTTGTTAGTGGGCTACAAATGCAGTGCCGTGTCTAATTCTGGTCTTTGTTAAAGGTGAGACAGATCAGAGCTACTCGTGTCACCCGGCTGAACTTTACGACTCAGACAGGCCGAGGCTGTCCTCGTCCTTCTGGCCCGAGTACTCCTCCCACAGCTTCACTGCTCCCCTCCCACACCAGCCGACGGCCTCCTGCCCCTCGGACCTCAGTCCTCAATCCACGGAGCAGTACTGCCCCCGTGTGGTCAAACGCAAAACCCCACACCCACAGAGGCCAGAGAGGGAGGGACAGATGACGGGAATGTCAGCATATCCAGGTGAATACTCGCTCTCTCGTCAAGTCTGAGCTGCTCTTTAACGCTAAGATAACGAGATTTTACATTATTTATACAAATGTGTCAAAATCACAACGGCATTATTTGAAAGACTGCATGAATGTTGAGCCAGAAACCAAGATATTCTAGTCTTTACATGCAATAAAAAGCTAATTGAATACATTTGCTTTACCTGTTAGAGATTGTTTGATTTACCGTAACAGTGTTTAAAGTAGTGAAACATCAGCTCCACCTTGAAAAGCTAACACATTACATTGTCGATCATGCAAAAGTCTTAAAGATTAAATCATGAGGCAGGGCCCATTTTATGGCTTTTCCTGTGATTTTGTTGAAATTTGTGTTTTACTTATTCAATAGTTTTTTTACCCAGTTGTGATGCTGCTTTAACATAAGATGATCTGATTACTTTATTAACCAATTATAAAAGTTAATTAAAAATAAACTTGTGATAATGACTCCAGTTGCCTTCTGTAGCCTACGATAAATTATTTAAGGTAAATATTGTTTATTTATTTATTCATTAATTCAGGGTCTGGGCCGATCCAGCTGTGGCAGTTTTTACTAGAGTTACTTCTGGACTCCGCCTGTCGGACCTTCATCTCCTGGACGGGAGACGGCTGGGAGTTTAAGATGTCCGACCCCTCAGAGGTGAGGAAGAATTCTGTTTTGCAATCCTTCTGACTACCATGTAGCCTTTTTACTGAAGTAGAATCTGCAGGTTTGTAGTTAAATTGATTTTTGTGTGTGTGTGGTAATAAGGTCCTTCTTTCAACTTGTGTAGATGCAATAAGAATGCTTGGAATAATCTCATTAAGGAAATAGTATAAGAACAAAAACCAGCAGTTTCAAAATGTCCCCTCTCAAACAAAACAAAAGCTCTGCATCAGTCTTTAAACCTTTCTGCGTTCTTACCTGTCTCCATTTTTCAAAAGCTGCTGCTTGTGGAGCTTATTAGAAACATGCAGAGGCATTTAAGGTCGGGTAGAATCAGTTATATCTGAACCAGTTCTCTTGCCCGCTTCCATCGCTGCCTTAAAACCGCCTACCTTCTGTGGTCCAAACAAAACCTACCATTCAGGACCAGAATCTAAACTTAGAAGGAGGACATGCTGGCTGCTGCATTGTTGTCAGAGAAGCCAGCACTTCAACAAAGCATGTTCCTTAATGTCTGATCATATAGTAAGCTCATTTTAATTTTATTCAGTAGATATTGCTCCCTTTAAAACTAGCTCCCCCTTTAACTCCTTCAACACTAAATTCTCCACACTGTCTTATGCTATGATGGAGTTCTACTGACATTACTTCTGTACTCTCACTTTAAAGTGCTTCTTCCACCGTTACTGTACATGGAGAGCGTTTTCAATGTTTTTCATCTTACAGAACACAAATCAAACTCTTTGTGTTTATTTGCTGCTCACACAGGTGGCAAAGCGCTGGGGCCAATGCAAGAACAAACCCAAGATGAACTACGAGAAGTTGAGCCGTGGCCTGCGGTACTACTACCACAAAAACATCATTCACAAGACGGCGGGCAAGCGCTACGTGTACCGCTTTGTCTGTGACATGCAGGGCATGCTGGGAAAGACGGCGCAGGAGGTCCTGACTAGTCTGAACGTTTTGCCCACAAACGCAGAGTCCTGGCAGTGCCCTGCGGTTCAGGCAGCAGCAGCAGCAGCGTCGGAGCACAGCAGTGAAACATGGGCGTCACAGTAGGGGACGGGGGGCCAGGACACTTTTTGTGCTGCTGGTTTAGAGACACACGTACATTTTAGAGGAGAACTGCAGCCTACAGGTAGAAAACGCTGCCTCCTCCAGCAAGCTTGACCAGTGGCTGATTTACAAATGCTCAAATTCAGGAAATAAATTACCAATACTAATAAATGAATCATCCTGGTAGTCTTTAAATACAACTCACAATATTCACATGCAGCACTTTTTCTTTAGTGTCATGCTGGTGGTGTGAGGCTCAAATGTTTTCAAATCTTATAAACGATGGGAATCATTGCACTGTTGTCAGGTTGCTTTAGTAACTGATAAGACAATGGGGAGTACAATCTGGAGTGACATGAGGGCTTATTTCTAGGTTAACAAACACATTCGATACCCATTACGAACCTAAAGCTAAATTATAACAGTTAATGTTAACACTTGCCCCAGTTTCTAGCTAAAAGTAGCATTAGCCTGCCAACAGCGCTGTTAGCCAGCCTTGTGTGGTTAGCTAATAATTCATGCCTTTTCTGTTGCTAAGTGTAACTCTAGCTAACTACATTGTTAGACAGGAAGTGGTTGAATGCTATTATTGATGATGTTTTTAAAAAAAATAGCCAATGGGTTATGAAATATGTCGACTCAAACTGGACCCTAATGTCTCTTTGAATTGAACCTATTAATTGTCTTTTCAGTAGCTAATCAATCTGATGCAGTGAACTGTTCATGATCTCAGAATATGTTTTGTAGACTTTGAACTGGAGCACAAGAGCTGGTCAAGAGCATTTTAAGCACTATTAACAGTTTTTTTTTTTTTTTTTGCAATGTGTTTCTACGACGACACTGATTTGTAAATAATGTTTATACTGTAGCGATGTCGAGTTTTGTGCATATATTATTATTTTTTCATTCAAAACTCATTTCTACCTCTTTTGCTATTCAGAATAACATGAACCGAGATGATTTTCAGGCACTCACTGTGAAGGTTTGAGCTGTTGTGATCATTGTTCCGTGTAAATAAAGTGTATATAAACATCAATTTGTGTGAAGACTCTCTCTTCATATTTCTAGATTTGGCCTTAGATATTAGTTTGATCGAATAAACATGTCTGTATCTTTCCTTTTTTTGGAAATGTTTTATTTAGTCTTTGAAACAAGTGAAAGAAGGGTCATTTTCAAATTGGCGCTGCACTTGTTTTTGCAGCCAGTTGAGTTGCCTTTGTAATGAATGCAAGGCCACGCCTGGCTCTTACGAAACCTGCAAACTCTTCCTTCTCTGATTGACTCCACCTACTGCAGTCTCGGAAGCTTTAGGCTTGATATTTTCAACGATGACAGAAGAAATAAACAATCTGGTCACTTACTTTATTAATAAGTTAATGTCATTGTCTTTGTCCTCAGGAAAACACTGGATGTGTTGACACGTGTGCTTCCATTCAGGAAGTGAACTGTACTGCACCATACTGGATGAAGAAGGGTCATTTTCAAATAGGCGCTGCTCTTGTTTTTGCAGCCTGTTGAGTGGCCTTTGCACTCATGCATGGAGGTCACTAACAGGAATAGAAGCTACAGTATGTCCACCTTTTGTAACACAGTCACTGCTGGAAAAAAAAAAAAAAGGAAATATGAGAACTACTGAATAATTTTTCCTATCTAATTCGCTTCCTATAATCCCTTTATTGTGAACGTTTGAAAACTGTGAAGTGACTGAAGTCAGGTGTTGCGCTGACATCTGCATCGCTGCGTCGACAAACCCACCAGAGCTTTGAGTATGTTACCTGCCAGGTTATGATTCTGATATTTCCGAGCGGCACTGAATGCCTCCTTTTGTGTAATGAGTTTTCCCGTGTTCTTCAATACAGTGAGCTTTATAGAGCAGCTGCTTATTTGCAACCCAAACTGCGTTTTCAGATTACGATCACTCCGCGCTGGTTTGGCTGCCTGAGAGATGCCGCGTAAAACCATAAAGATGGCTTTGTCGGACACGCTGGAGAATCTGTCACAGCAGAACTTTGCAAAGTTTTGTCACCGGCTTCTGGACCGCAGAAACGAACCGCGGGTCCGACGCAACAGGGTGGAGGGTAAAAGCTATTTAGATGTCGTGGATGTCTTGGTTTCTACGTTTACTGAGTCCGGAGGTCGCAATGTGGCCGTGGAGATCCTGAGACAGATCGGCTGTAGCGAGGAGGCAGAGGAGCTCGGTGAGGTTAACGACTAGTATCGGTTTATATTTGTTGCAACATTTGAAGAAATCCAGAATAGTTCTGCTGTGGAGAAAAGTAACATTTCGAGGCTGTTCGTCAGTAACTGCAACAAACAGATTTCAGCTCAGACGTTTTAAATACCAAATAGAGAGAACAGCACAATGGTCAACCTGGACATTTTACTTTCGATTTCAAACTCATGTGAATGTATCTGTTTAACACGAAACACCTCTCTGACAAAGATTGAGACAACTATGGTCGGGAAAAATGTCATTTGTCAGTTTTTTGTGTGCTCCTGAATAACAGCCTTAACTTGGTCGACATGTTTGAGCTTGGTCAGTCACACAAAACAAAACTTTATCTGCGTTTAATCCCAGATTTAGATTCTAAAGACGAAATTTATTGCAGAATTATTCATCATGTTTGTTTTTGTTTCCACAGTCAGAGAAACATGAAAATGAAATTCCCAGTTTTAAAGGTAAGTTTCCCTTCCATATTTGTTTGTGCCAAGTTGACATTGACTTTCTCTATGAGTTTTAAGTTTTCTTAAATGTTTTACAGATGCAGGACACTCGGCAGGAACAACCATGGTGGGTAAAGGTACAACTTTTTAAGCCTAATCTTTCCGGCTTCATTGTTCTCTGTTATCTCTCTTTATGCTGCACAGTAATAGACACCTTAACTCACTGTTATATATATGAATAATAACAAATGTATTACTCCTACTGCCAGAGGCGCCGCTTGTCAACAGGCAAGGTAGGCCACTGCTTTGGGCCCCAGACCAGAAAGGGGCCCCTGAGGGCTCACAATCTTTAACCAAAGCAGTTGAACAAAATGTGCAAATTTTGCAGTGACAGTTGGAAACCTTCCTAAGGGCCCAGCTCATTCTTGTTGCCCTGCTAAGCGTTGCATGCATTATTGCTGTGAAAACCAAAGTTTCTCAATAAAAGTCAACAGAGAAAAATGAAGAGGAATTATCCGTCTATCGGAGAGAGAAGGGCCCCCCAATTGATTCTCGCTTAGGGCCCCAAGAGACTCTAAAATCGCCACTGCCCATTGCAAATGAATTCACAGGAAAATATGCACTGCAGCATGTCAGTGATTGGATCTTTAATACAATTTTGAGTGAGGAAATTATACAGAATATGACATTCTACCTCTTACACTTTTAGTTATCCTATCATGACTGTAAAAAAACTGACTACATTTATTTAGTATAAGTGAGTGCACTCTAAACCATTGAACCTCTGGTGTGAACATACAAACACATGGATCCAAAAGCCATTTAACTGATTTAACCATTTATTTTAGAGTAAGATATACTTTACTAATACCACAAGGGGAAAGGGGGGGGGGGGGTTGATGCTTTGCTCACTAGCACCTTGGCAGTGCTCAGGAAGTGACCTGGCACCTCTCCAGCTAACAGTCCAATTTCCAGACTTGGTCTGCACCGAGACTTGAGCTGGCTAAACCTCCTTTTCCAACCCCATCCCCTACAGACTGAGCCACTGCCATCCAGATTATTAAAAAGTGGATGGATGGTTGATTTCTTGTTTATGAATCCTTAATGTTAAACAAGGAAATTGTGCTTCTTGAAGTTCAGATTTCACTGTTTTTAAGGTAAATACTAACATTTATCAGCTTCAGTGTCCCTCTATATATAGACCATATACGGACATTAGATTCTGGAGTTGACATGGCCACACCTGGCTCTTATAAAACCTGCAGACTCTTCCTTCTCTGATTGACTCCACCTACCGCAGTCTCAGGGAAGATTTAGGCTTGATATTTTTAACAACGACATAAGAAATAAGCTATCTGGTCACTTTATTAATAAGTTAATGTCGTTGTCTTTGTCCTCAGGA